TACATTAGAGTTGAGATGTGCATGTTCTATATATATATGGACCAATGCTGCATAATAGAATTCTCTCGTTCTGCAGGTAGTCTACCCCATAAAATCTCACATTTCCTCCTCCTACAGAAACTGTCTGTTCAGTAGAGTCAGAATGACAACACTCAATACCAGCTCTTACTACATTAACAGCTGGAGTAAATCTTATAGAGCCTGACAGTAGAGTTGAGGTGAACACCCCATACACATCTGTGATGTATCTCTCACATACCTATCTGTTGTAGCTGATGTTGTGTCCATAGAGACCAACAGTTCAGTTGAGGTATATAAGTATCCATACTATATACAATAAAGTGCTCTCTTGTAACAGATTGAGTCAGTCCCATAGAGTCTGATGGTAAATTTGAGGCGAGCACGGATACTTATCACAAGTGCCATTTTCCACGGCTGGTTTTGACTCATTGAGTCTGATGGTAGAGTTGAGGTGATCATGCAAGGTACAGTCTGAATGAGCCTCAATCACACTGCACATATTGGATGTCCAATGAATTTTGTGCAGGTACTAAGACGACCACGTACCAGTTCTGCCCATCCCTGTGAAAAAAAAAGTTGTCTTCTCTGTCTCCTTTTTTTTTATGGGAAAAGAACATACCCTGGACAAGAAGAGATGTGACATCTCATGGGTGTTCCCCTATGGAACCTGCTATCAGATGTCACATCTCATGGACATCATTCAGAAGCTTTCTGAAGGGTGCTCATCTGTGTAACTTTTGCATTTGTCCATCTACCATATCAGCATGGGATTCTATCTAATCTGCATGTAGATGTTAGTTACCATCTTAGGAATTAACATTTTCCTTCCCTGAAATGTATTTCTTATAGATACTCGCCTCTTAACACATTCCCATCCATCCTGCTCACTTCCATTGCACATTTTCTTTCTTGCCTTGTTAAAGAATGAGGATTCATGAGTGCAAGTGCATAAGAAGAATTAGTGCACATACAGTTGTGTTACTCTCATATCAGTGGAGGGATTTTGTTGCATGATGACATTAGCATGCAGTGGCACAACTCATGTAAAATCACATAAAGTTAGGTGGGAGTTGTCTCAAGGCTAGTCTCTTTGGCAGACATGCAAAGGAAGATAGCTAATCTGTGTGACTATTTGAGTGAGTATCTATCAGAAATACATTTTTGAGTAAGGAAAGTGCTAACTTTCTTTATGTATTTATTAATTCCAAGATGGAAACTATGAGTAGTTTCTCCATCATATGAAGTATTTGCATTTTCTTACACAGTTTAATCTTACAAATTTAAATTTTTCAGTTAGCCTCCTTCATTATTGTCTATGTGCTAAAAACATTATGTTGACTTTAATTTGATATACTTATTCTCTTGTTAATTTTTAGCAGGTGTTTAGTGTCAGTCATGCACAAGCAATATTTTTGTGCTATGCTCCAAAGCGTTTCATTGCTTTCATGCTTAGTAGCATATTTTCTCTTTTTTAGTTAACCTGTTGCAATAATGAAACTTTTCTTTATGTTTCTAGTAGTCTGTATGTTTGTTTGACTTAACACTGGCCTAAGTAGTTGTCTATCTACAATTTTGGCAAATGGGATAGCTTCTTATCACTCCTAAGCCTTTTCTTCCTAAGGCATTAACTCTGATTAACTGGTACCTTGTTGAGTCAACCCCAACTCCATAGATATATGTCAGGTATGAGCTAACATTGAAATGAATTCAATTAGTTTGTGAATGCACTGATTGGAATTAGTGTCTTAAGCATTATCAAGTCATTGCCATACAAATACACATGTATGGTGTGTAATAATTTATCATTTTTAAGTTAATTAAAGAAAGTTCCTTCAGTATTTAATATGAGAAGGAATGTGTAGGACAGTTATTTGAAACCTGGTAATATGTTTGAAAAGTGCCATAAGATAAGACATATTGTGCATTTTAACAAATAATGCATAATTGATCATGTGATTTGGAAGTTTTATATCTTCTCAGTCAAAATGTGAACTGTTCTGTTAGGTTATACCTATTGTCTCTTTGGCTTACCAATCCAAGCAACGGGGAATCACCTAATGACTTGATAAGCATCTTTAGCATTCCTCAAGACAATGATAAATTTAGTTTTTAATTTATTTGATCTGTTGTAAAAAAATTTATTATCTCAGCCCAGATATAACTTAGTAAATGAAATTTAGATTTGGCATAGATAGCTTGTAAAATTGTAAGCTAAAGATTCTTATAAAGCTTTATTTAGATATCATAACTAAATCTGCATTTCAATAAACACAATCAAGTATGTCTCTGGACATGTAATCCTAAATATTCTTAGTAATCATTGTCCAGATACATTGTAGTGCCACTTTTGACTTGAAAATTGCTGCTTCTGTGAAACACTCTCTCTCAGTTAGCCTCAGCTTCTAACATATGTTTGAAATTTGCTTTCACTGTTCTTCCAGAACCTTTGCTACTGATATCAACTGGAAGGCTGTGATCCAACCTTTTGAATGAACCTTCCAGATGGCCTTTATTTTTGTGTGTATATATTGGTACTGTGAAACTAGGTGCAGAGTGAATGTATTTCATGATAGGGACCATTGTAATTTTGGAACACATTAGGCTAATGACCAAGTTCCTCAGCAATAGTCCTTGAAACATATTCTTTTAATATTATTCAACACCCATGAATATTAAAAATATTTAGTGTACAGAATGAATCCGAGACCTGCAGAGTTGCTAAAATCTTCAAGAAACAGACCATTAACCTTTCAAACTCTATTGGCTGTTAATTACCAGAGCAGGAGATGTACTTCTTTCTTCAGGATAAATAAAATAAGTGTTATTTTAACACTTGTAAATATGTATTATAGGGTTCATACACGACATGTATCAATAAATAAAACAATTACTTTTATAAGAGATCTTTGGTTTAATACACCATGTACAGGTGCTATAGTTTTATAAATAAGGCCCCAAATGTTTAAAATAGCATGTCTGCTGGAGAACAGGAAAAGTCACAAAATAGGGTGTTACATCTAATAAAGCTTTATTTTACTCATTTTAACTTTTTGTTTTCAATATACCAAACAAATATAACATTTACATTTGGCTTTACATTTCACCTCTATTCAGTCAAATCTTAGCATGTTGTATTCTGTTTTTAACTTGTTACATATTTGCTTGCTGTTAGTCAGAAGTGAAGCTTATGTGCCATTTATGTATATATTTTCTGAAAACCTTTACTTATACCTTAGATTACCTTAACCCTCATGTTATGTCTCAGGTGTATTTTACCAAACATTAGTTTCCATATCATTGTGATGCAGTTAGATATACCTTGGGTTTATTGTAACAACAGTTAAAATTAATTTCTAATGTTTAACATAAAAGGGTAAAAGCTATCTAGTGAAAAAGTATTTTATCAATTCAAAGCTGTTTTAATTTGTTTAAAATTACATTGATTCAATATGGCTCAAAACATAACATACAAAACTCTGGGTCATAAACTGCCCAAATAAGCTAAACTCACTACCTGATATAGCCTGTTTTTAAATTTTTGAAGATCACAAATGAATTTCCTTGACTAATTATAATTCTGAACTAGTAATTGTAATCACAAATTTATCAACCATCATTTTTTTCATGTAGCTTTTCTCATCCAGAGTCTGCAAGACACATTTACATTATAGCTAACACTGCAAACTGTTAACTTTGTGCCTCACAATTCTCTTAGAAACTGTCCCATTATATTATTTCGAAATGTTAAAATCCAGACTAACTATGCTCTTATGTATGAATATAAAATTGGAAATGAAGACATTTTTATCATAAAAAAACTACATACAGTTGTTAGTAAATTAATTTGAAATTGAGCTTTACAACATATTAAATTTTTTTTTAAGGTTTACACTATTCATATCTTAATAACAGTCATGACATTTTAATCTCTGAGTTACTGTTAATGCAATCAGTGGATTATTAATATTTTTACTGTTAATGCTTTTCTTTCTGTGGCTAATTTTGCACTTTAATTTGTAACACAGGAATCCAAAGTTGGGAATCATCTTTAATAACCAACAAACTATGGATTCTTGATGCCCGTTCTTATACTGCAGCTGTAGCCAATCGAGCTAAGGGAGGTGGCTGTGAGTGTCCAGAATATTATCCTAATTGTGAAATCAAGTTCTTGAATCTTGCCAACATTCACAGCATACGGAAGAGCTTTCACAGCCTTCGAATCCTGTGTATGCTATCAACAACCCAGGAAACGTTAGTATTACTTTTAGACCTTCTCTTATGATGCCCTTTAGAGAAACAGAAATAAAACTTCTAAATTTCAATGAATACACCACTGAACCATGACTCCCTCTCTATTTCTGTAATTCCCATTTTTTTAAATAACATTTAATTCTCAAGCAGTGGCAAACACATCTAAACTTCTTGGTAATGCAAAAGGGTGCCTAGGTCCAAAGGTCATGATAGTAGGGGAAATAACATTATATGTTGAATGTTTTAATAACTTTTTATTTATTTATTTTAACACTTTCACTATGGAAATCTTTTTCTGTGCATGTCACAAGGTTTTAATGAGTTACATTCAAAACTTAATTAAACTACTTTCTAATCATGCTATATGAATCACTTTAGCATAAAACTTAGCTAATAATCCAAATCTTAATAGTATATAAGTTTTAAGTTTTTAAGTTCTGAATTTGAAAGGTAATATTATAACACAATCCTGAATTTCCCCTAGTATGGGAATTTTGACGTTTTCTCATCAGATATCCCTTCTTCTCTAATTTATTTATCACCTTATTTTTCTTGGGCTTTTGCCGTGTCTTTTAATGTTTATGAGTTTTCTTTTTTACTTTTTTTTTCTCATTTATGCTTTACATTTAAATATATGCGTTCCGTTATATACAGTTTATACTTCAACTGTTATTGGAATTAATTAGTCTCTTTCTCCTTTTTTTTTTCTCCCTCACCCCTCTAGAAAGGCCCTAGAAGTGTTTCTCTTGAGGCATGTAATGCCTTTTGCTGTTTGTTTTTCTGATTAAAAGTTTGTTAATGCTCTACTCTTCTAGGTTTTACAACCACTTTATTCTTTTATAATTGTCGTTTTCCAATTCTTGTTTGTCTAATAAGAATAATGATATGTATTCCCATTTAGTTAAGCATACCATGACTGGTCTCCTGTCTTAAAGTAAAAGCTTTACATGCATCAGGCAGAGATATTTGTTCTAACTATACCCACTTTGTCCTCCATCCTATACCTGATCAGTAAGATTAGGTATTTTCTTTAAGGTATGTATCAAGGAGATATTAATTGAACTGCTAATTTTTGTATGGTCAGACTTTCTAGTATGACATTTAGCCATGCACACCCTTCATTATCTTTTGTTGTCCCTTCCTGGGCAAACACCTTTACTGTCAGGTTCTTTATCAGTACTGTTTACGGGCTGAGACTGATCATTCACTATGGTTGCTGTTCACAATAGAGGATTTGTCTGTAGGACAACCTTTACTTTAGAAACTGCCATTTTGTATTACTCATGTGTTGGTTTCTTTTAATTATAACATGACATTTTTTCAAGAAAACAGGTCAATATGTGTATTTTATTTACCTGTTTTAGAAAAACCTGCAAGTTTAGACTTAAAAGAAACTCATGAGTACTTTCTTTGAGTATGTGTAGAAATGTTCTGATCCTTCTCCTTTATGTATATCTGTACCTGATTCCAGTAGACAACACATGTCACATAAATATACATGAAAGCTGTGGCTTAGTCTATAAGATACTTATAATTTAAGAATTATCACAAGTGTGGATGAAGAACTCATGGGTAACACCTTGTTTGAGCACCATGTGGGGATGTGCAATAACTAAAGGAAAGTAATTGTTAGTATTTGATTCTAGGTGCTTTTTTTATGAAGCCAAAATGATCTGATAAATAACAAATGACTATGCACAGGCACCACTAAATATTGCCAACAACTAACAGAAATAATTTAATACTTTCTCTTCTTGCCTTACTTATCATCATTAAAGTGCATTAGCTTATAAGTTATTTGAACAAAATACACATTAATTTTTTGAATAATAAACAGACCTCATGCTTAAATAGAATTATGCTTTTTTGAAAGCAGATTTTCTGCTCAAAATGCAGATCTGCACAATGTATGCAACTTTTTGTGAAATTTCACAAATCAAGAACTTTTTTCTGATATCATTCAAAGTGTGGTGGAAACAATGATGTATGATCATTATGCACAAAAACAGATGCAAGCAGAAGCATGCAGTAACAACCAAATCAACCATCCACCAATATGGCTGAGATATGGCTCAGAGTGATTAAATAATACTAAATAGCATGCACAATCTATATGATGCATACAGCAAGCAGTACAAATGCACCTATATAGTATGCTTTATTAGCAGAAGAAAGGAATAAAAATGCTAGTTAGCACTTGTACTGCATTGTGAAAAATGCAGACTCAAAAAGTCTAGGGTCAGGTCTGAACAAATCATATTAATAAAAAATTGCTAATTTAAATAATCTACTAAAACAGAAACTTTTGTTTATTATTATTTATTGGAGGTGATTTGTAGTTTTACCAATATAGGTAGCTTTACAGCTACCATAAAACATATTACCCATAAATTAAACTACATTTAGTACTTACATCAACACTTAGAATTTAAAATATGTTTAAAACCAAAGACCCTCTACCAATTCCTGTGCACTCGTGGGTCATATATAAATACATTTGTGTTAGCTGTCAAGCTTCCTATATTGGTAAAACCACACATCATCAGATGGAATACCAGGTGTCTTTACAGCTCTCCAACAAACGAGTTGAATGGAAGAATCTTAACTCAAATGTCAATGAGGGTGGCAATGAATGTCAGGATTCCAAAACAGACTTACCTCCTCTCACACAGAAGGCAATCTTAATCATTGACTGCTCCCTAAGTGTTGCTAAAAGAATGAAGCTTTGTACTGCCAGTTTTGGTTTGATTTAGTTACTGCTCTGTGAAAAAGCTGTAAAGCAAAATGCTGAGTGTTTAATTAAATAAAACATTTGAATATTATAAGGTTGTTTATTTCTAGTATTAATAGTCAAAAGTTATAAAAAGTTTTCCACAATTTTTTAATGCATGATGTACCCATGTATATGTAAAAGTTTATTGATAACTGATATCATTATTGTTTCACTTGTGGAAGACTACTTGGTTTGGTATATATAATGTATTTACTTTGTGAAGCTGTTTTATATGTGTTTTAGGTTGTATTTCTTATTTGTAAAGTTAAGTATTACTGTATATTTGTCATAAGTTACTGTAATATTTTCTTACCTTTATTCACTTGTTTTTAATTTAGATTTTCTCAAACAGCTTTTAATATATTTATTATCTGATAATTTGAATTTACAACATTTTACAGTTGGCTCTCAAGTCTAGAAAATACTAGGTGGCTGCATTACATCAGTGATCTTTTAAATGCTGCTTTGGTAGTGGTTAATTCTGTTGATATTGATCAGCGGCCAGTACTTGTCCACTGCTCAGATGGCTGGGATAGGACACCTCAAATAGTAGCACTTGCTGAGCTAATGCTGGACCCATTTTATAGAACATTGGAGGTAATAATAGGAGAAAAAGAATAGTTGTGTGTGCTTTTAATATTAACGTCAATAAAAAGGTTGATATTGTTTACATATAATCAAAAGTGAAGTAAAGGAATTATAGACTATACTGAGTTTCTTTGTATACATAATCAAAAACTAATAAAACATCCTTTCCAGACTTATCAAAAAAACAAAGAGAAAAGCAGTTATATCTTTTCAGATGATTTTGAAGTATCAAAGGTTACCTCTCATATTCTCTATTAGTATTTTCATATTTTCATTTAGTGGTTTTCAAATTAAAACATTGTTTTGCTGATGTTATAAATACATCTTATCAGGTATTAAAATTAAAAAATGTTTTTTAATGCTAAATATACAGAAATAGTTTTTATTAAAAAATTGAACACTACAGTTTTCTAGTAATAACAAAACTTTTAGAATAAAAGCTTATTAAGAAGTACAGTTTATTTTTTGTTTCTGTTTGTAACTTAGAAAGTACAAGGGGACTGGCATGGCCTGATTATTAGGGTGCTCGACTTGCAATATACAATCATTTTTCAAAATCCAACATGAACATGCCCTTTCACCAGTAGGAATATTATATTGTGATAGATAATCCTCCTGTTTGTTGGTAAAGAGTATCATAAGAGTTGACAGTAGGCATTGCCAGATGGTTGCCTTCTCTGTGATCAGCAGTTCAAAATTAGGGACAGCAGCAAATAATCATAGTTGTTTTGCTATGAACAAACAAACAGAAACTCTTAATTAGATATAGAAAGGTAACAGGAGGAAATATTAAATTAATACCTTATATATGGCATAAACTTTGAGTGTATTAGAAGTAAGAAGTATATAAATTCAATATGTTTCACCAGGTTGACCTGGCATCTTCAGGTGATTGACATACAATTGTTTGAAAGAAAACAATCATGAGTTTAAATTTCAACTGATAAAAGATCATAAGTATTAAAAGTGACACTCCGGCATTATGACATCAATATTATTCAAGTTAAACAATAAATAAAGAATAATATATTAACAAAAACTGGAAAAATTCACAAATCAAATTTTAATTTGACACTAACATATGTTTTACTATTCATGCTTATTTGTGTTGTTATACCAAAACTATTAAAGAACTACATTTTATGTCTAACATCAATGTCAGCATCATGGACCATTGGTTAAAAAGGCTAATAGCAACTTTTTTTAACCTTGATTGTTTGGGTTATACCCACTTTCAAAAAGATAAAATTGTGTCTGAGTATTTGTTGATATTTTTATTTATGGATCTTATTATTAAAGCCTCCTTGGTTTCTCTAATAGAAGTATTACTTTTATAATGTAAGATTTTTGTTAATTCTGTTAAATGCATGTTAGTGTAAGTTTTTAGAATGTTCATAAACTAGTGATGGTTTGTGTTCTGTAAACCTGTTCTCTAACTTTCTACCTGTCTGATCTATGTATGGTATATTACATGAGTGACAATCTGTTTAATAAATTCAATTTTTTATGTTGTTGTTATTATGTTTCCTAGTTAACAAACTACCTATTTTTGGAAATTTTTCCTGGTATTGGAAATACATTTTCAATACAGGAAAATGTTAACATCTAGTCTGGATATTTTCACCCTATGTTTCTGGGAACTCATCATTCTTACAAAATGCAAGACTGTCCAAAAGCTAAATAACTTTGACCCCACTGCCCATTTTTTAACTTTTGATGTAACTTCCTTATTGTGATACAATATCTTACCTCTTACAGAATATCTTTTCTAACTTGTACTGCCCTTTTTATTCACAAATGCTTGCTCTTTACTAGCCTTGATACTTCCATCTATCCTTACGTGTTTTCACATGAGCCAGTATGCAAATGAGCTTGGGACAACCCTCCCCCCATTAGGAGTGACATCTCCTAGCATAGCTGACTCCCTCTATGGATCTTAGCTCAAATTCACTTCTTTACATTTGCTACATTTGTGTTCTGAAATTTTAGTTAGCATTAGGTGTCTTTTATTCTAATATGTGATTCTTTGGAGCTCCCTATTTAGACTTTTCTACTTCCACTCTTAGTTGAAATGAATTCTGAGTTTCACATTACATCTACTATCACTGCTGTTTCTACAACCACAATTGTTGGTGGTAGGTGTTATGACCTACAATAAGATGAAGATTTCAGTAGCTTGTTTCCTCCCCCTTCCTATGCCACATAGTCACGTTTAGCTCCAGTGAAAGCACTCAGGCCTCCATTTCTGGAGTAATAAGCCAGGTGTTATGTTTTGTCTTTGTCTTCCATTTTGTTTGATTCCTCCCCTTCTCTTTTGAGTGAGACACATGGGCTAATGTTTGTTCTCCCCTTTCACCAGATATTGAGGTTCATACCAATAGATTTGTGAACCAATTACATTCCAGTGTTAGTATGCCTCGACCCCCATGTAATATGGAAGCCCATGGTATGGCTTACCATAGGTTTGCTTTCCTTTTTTGGACTCCCAGTAGTTGGATTCTCTTCTACCTCTGTGGGATTTGGATATGAATACTTCAATAATGTTTGTCCAACCTCAGTTTTCCTGTATCCACATTACGTTATCCCCCTCCTTTGTTCCATTTTCTCATTGGCTTCCCATTTGTCTCGTCCTTTTCCTGAACCTGCTTCTGTGTCTTATCCTCCTTTCTCTTCTTTACTATTGCCTCCTGCATGGATCTCCAAGGTTAACCTTCAGCATCCTCAGTGGTGCCACCATTTAGGAGTCCTTCACTACATCCCTTGGGTTCTGTGTTTTTTTTCTGAAAGACTCGTTCATTGTTTCAGTTTTCTTCCACCCCTGTCCTTTCTTCCTGTATCCTTCCCATTTCCAGTCAGCATCTTTCCAAGGAGATTCTAGACCTTCTTCACAAGGGCACTATTGAACAGAAAAATTCTTCTCAGCCAGGTTTTTATTCCCATTGTTTGTAGTCCCCAAGAAGACCAAGGACTGGTGGCTGTCATCAATCTCTTTTTCCTTGAACTGCTTCCAAAAACCTTCCTTGATTCACCATGGAATCCTACCTATCTCTTCAATAGGCTTTCACTCCTGGTCTTTGGATGACAAAATTAGATGTCATGGATGCTTACCTCCACATTCCCATCTCACCAGCATTCTGGTATATTCTCTTTCATCCGTAATGATTGCATCTACCAGTTTTTGGCTCTTCCATTCGAGCTAGCTTTAGCACCCTACATTTTTTGTTGGATTGTCAAGACCTTTGCCCATCTTCTCCATTCCAGCACTTTTGTTTCCATCATTATATGAACAGTTAGCTACTTCTAGCTACTTTGCATACCACCTCTTCCCTTCACACTTAGTTTCTTCTTCAAGAGACTGCATGGGTAAATTGGCTTGTCAAGGTGGAGGAGTTCATCTTGGAGTATTTTTCAATTCCTGTCTTAGCTCAGCCCACCCTTCTCCCCTTTGCCTTCAATCTGTGGAGCTTCAAGTTTGGGCTGTTTCCTCCCCTCCTTCTCCAACTGTGTGAGAGGTTCTTTCTCTTTTGGTGACATGGGCTTCTTTGGAGGCCCTAATTCTCCTTGGTGAAGCCCACATATGACCTCTTCAGTGGGCTTTTCAACATCATTGGAACCTTGTTCAGGATCCTTTGGATGCCTCTATCCATCTCCCTCATTCCCTTCATCTAGACTTTGCCTGATGGTTGGACAGACACAAACACTGTTGGTGTTCCTCTTCCTTATCCAGAGGTGAGCTTCTTCATGGATGCTTCTCTTTGAAGTTGGGGTGCATATTTGGACTGTACTTACCTTACTTTTCCTTCCTCTGTCCACAGTGAGATGTAGATCGAAAATGTAGGGACTTTTGATATGCTCTATCCAGAGCTTCTCTAAGAGTGACTTTGTGGAGTTTATTGTTATCTATGATGTTTTGACTCCGCCTCCTTCTTTGTCTTCCTCTTGCCTTGTATAAGTTGTGTTATTCTATTGTCGCTCATTGTGGCAATTTATTCCAAGGCATCCTAGTGAGGTGGCCAAACAATTCTATTTGTTGCAAGAGATATCAGGCTGTTGTTCTATCAATGAGTCATCTCAATCTTTTGAAATTGTTCACTGTCTGTCGGGTTTTTGTTCACTCCCTTCCCTCTGTTCAGAACCAGTTAGTTATGATCCATTCCAACAACACAATGGTTTTCTTGTACATCGCTTAGCAAGGGGATGCTTGGTTAAGGTATTTTTGTTTCCATATGTTGGACCTCCTATTTGGGGCCCTCAGTTACCACATTTGCTTGTTGTTGTCATGGGTGTCCTGAATCTGGTCACAGATGTTTTGTCATGCCCAGACAAGATTTTCCCCACAGAGTGGTCCCTCAACCCACAGGTATTTGGCTGTGTTCCCAATAGGGTACTCCAGAACTGAATGCAATTGCATTGACCTGATTTTTAAGCTTCCCAAGTTTGGTCCCCAATTCTACATCCTTGGGCTGTAGCTGTCATTTCCCTCTGTCAGGAATGGGGACCTTTCTCTCTGTGCCTATCACCCCATCCATCTTCTTCCTTGTGTCCTTTCTGACCACCAAACCACTTCATGTGGTGGCACCACTTCTGCACCTGCTCCTACTGACATCTTCTATCACCCACTCTCCTCAGACAATCTCAATCAGACAGGCTACATCCTTCCATTCCAACAGTCTATCTTCATACATGACTTTTCTCTGATCCCTTGATAGACAGGCCAGACTTTTCCTGTGGGTTGCTTCCCTAATTTCCCATTCTGTTTGCCTTCCTCCATGTCAGTTTACCAACGTAAGTGACATGTTTACTGCCATTGGTCTTTTTGTCATGGTTTCCTCCATCCCATCCTACTCTCCCACACCTGACTTCCTTGCCTGGATTTTTGGTCTCCACCATTGCTGGTTATCATGTGGCCTTGTCAGCCACTTTCCATTTCACAAGATTTTGCCATTTATTCATTCTCGTTTTGTTTCATATTGTTTCGTTCTTTCCACCTTCGCTATCCCTCATTTCCTACTGCCCTCCCTGATTGAAATCTTAATGTTGTCCTCCATACCCTTACACTTCCTCCCCTTTTTTGCCTATGTCATCCTGTTCATTATATCATCTCTGCTTAAAGACCCCCCCCCCCTTTGTCGTGTGGATTTCATTGTTCAGATCTGTTCACTCTCTAGATATCTCTTGCACATTATATCACAGGACTTGTGTCATCCATTACCTGTATCAGTCTCTTCTGCTTCTATTACTTTTATGGGTTGGATTCACCTACTTATTTGCCTGGCTTATTCTTCCCTATCTTCCAATGATTGTTGTATCTTCCAAGTCTCTTCCCATCAAATCCATCACCTTACCATGTTCCTGGCTGCTTGATTCTGTCATCCATTGGAGAATATAGTTCATGCTGGCATGTGGACCACTCTCCATACATTTATTTCACATTATCTTCATTGTCTAGCCATTTCCTGTTCTGCAGGTTACTGTCTACCTCCCTTTGCTATCTTGAGCTCATGGCTTCACTATGGATGGGTAGGAGCTATTTTTCTTCTTTATAGGGGCTTTTCTCACATATATGGATCCTGCTCAGTGGTGAATGTTGCCTGATCATGTATACTTGTTTTTAATAATGCCCACTGTTCCTCAAGACCACTTGTAGGTTTTTTCTCATAGTGTTTTGTATCATAAAAATGTTTGCCCTGGACTGTACACTCGTGGACTAACATGAGTAAAGCAGAAGAGGATTGTGGCATTTTCTCTCTAGGTTCCCCTTTTTCTCTAATTTATTTACCACCCCTCTGAGAATTATGGAATTTAATGTTTCTCTCACAAATTGCCAATAGTTCCCTCTGATGTTTAATACTGTATTATTTATAATCAATAGAAAGCCAGAGTTTTAATCTATCAAATAACATATCATATTATGTTATTTCTGTACAAAAAATTGTTTACATAACTTTCAATTCAATATGATTCTACACCATTTTGCTATTATTATACTGACATCAAAATATTTGTGCTGTTTTCACTAGTTTAATAGGTATTCAGTTGTCAGATAAAATATGATAAGCTAGAAAATTGTCTTTTAACATTTAGTACCAGCATAATAACCCAAAATAAAATATAGAAAAGCACTCCGTGGATTACATGCATCTAAGGGCTTTCTAACTCCATAGATGTGATAATAATCACTTAAGAATCAAATTTTTTTATTTACTTAAAGGGCTTTCGCATCTTAGTTGAAAAAGAATGGCTGGACTTTGGCCATAAATTTTGTGACCGTTGTAGTACAGGACCTAGAAGAGATGACCCTTCAGAAAAATCTCCAGTGTTCCTTCAGTGGTTGGACTGTGTTTATCAGCTACTACATCAATTTCCTTGTGAATTTGAATTCAACCAACAGTACTTGGTGAGTTTCATGTATTAATAAAAATTATAATTGTTAATACTATGTAGGTTTTATTCATAAAAAGGAACTAGTGACAGTGAACTATGTACGTTAGCTTCTCGATTTGGATTATTAGTAACAGAATTATTTTGAGTTATAAAAGTGTTACTGTTTCAAATATATTGAAACTTTATTTCAATATTGCTATCAGTATGAATTATCTTTAAAACCAGCATTAAGACTACCATATCAAATTATAATGAAAATTACTATTTGCTATGTTTTAGGTGTCATAGGTCAATGTGTACTTTCTTTGTTATAGTGACAATTATATTAGGGTCCACATTGACCATTTTTTAATAGCAGTACAGGAAAAACTTGACTTAAAGTATTATTCCATTACAATTAATGGCAAACTCTTTTGTCAGAAAAAAAAATTCCATGTATAAAAATATATGACTTCATAGAACACCATAAAATGTTTTCTGGTGAAAATTTTATAGGTTTTAAATAAAAGTAATAATAAAGAAACTGTATTAATTAAAGTGTACACTAGATTTTCATTGTCTATAACTACTACTTTGGGTGTATTGTGAATGAAGCAAGGGTTTTTTGTGAATGCTTGGGAGTTTTAATTTCCCAACTTGGAAATGCAAATGCAACAATATGTGAAACCCACCATGAATGGGAGTGCAGTATACCCTCCTAGCATAGCTGACTCCCACTATACTGATTGTTCAGTCATCACTTCTTGATTTGTCACTGGTGTATAAAGACGTTACTTTTTATTTTTGTGAATTTTTGAGATATAGGGGATTGTTTATGGAAAGAATCTACAAAAACACTAACTGTTGTGGAAATATGAAATTTAGATTTTCATTTCCCAACATTTCCAAACAAGTGAAGGTAACTTCCACTTATTCTGCTGTGGGACAACCAGATGTTGTTCATGCTAGACTAACAAAAAAAATGGTATTTTGTTTCTCTGTCTGTTGAAAGTGGTGGCTATTGTGCAATGGGAACCAGAGTCTTTCATGTGGCCTGGATTTTCTTCTTAACCTTATATACCACTTCCTATTTTTTCTGTTCATGACAAGGTGTATTTTGAGAGCTTTTTTCACACCTAACCTACCTTTTCCAACTCTAGACCTTTCTCATAATTTTGGGACCTGGTTTCTCAGATATGTTACTTTCTTTTTCTCTTTTCCAACTTGTATGATTCTTCTCCTTAACTTTTTAATTTGTTCTCTGCTTCTGACTTTTAATTTCTTTCCTCTCCATCCAGATATTTTAAGTCCATATTATATCAACTTTGCTCTGGTGCATGCATGCCTTGTCCTTCTTGCAGGTTGCTTCATATGCCTGGGATTAACATCAAGCTGTATCCACTTTCTTGGACTCCCAGTCTTTGAAGTCTCTTCTTCAGACTTGGGGGTTCAGATCTTCTTTCTTCTGTTTGACTTTCTCAGGCTTCATTTTCCGACCTTTGTCCATCATTAACTGCTGTTTTGCACTATTTTTCTGCCATTCACCTTCTTTCTGAGGCAATCCACCATTCCCATAAGGATTTTTGGTGAATACTTGTTCATTTTTGTTTTTTTGGGGGCATGTTTATCTTCTTTAACCTTATCACTTCATACTTGGTTGACCTATTGCTAGGATTTATTGGGGTGGGATGCACTTCTTACTGAAGTAAATTTGCCCTTTTCTTATCTCGGGGACCTTCATCTGCTCCTTGTGTTTCTGCTTGAGTGTTTTTAGTAGAGTACCTGATTCTCTGGAATCATGCGTTGAAGCTGCACACCAACATTCTTACTTATCCTCATTTCCAATCTTTCTCAAGCTCCTTCTTTCCCCATTTTTTCCCCATCCTCCCATTTCCTCTCCTCTCATTATCCCCCTCCCCTCTATTTTTCTGCTTCCATCCATTTTTCCACTATTCATGGACTTCAGCACTGTCAGTTTTGGCAGTGCCTATTCTCTATGCTTAGAGACAATGATCACTGGGTGTTAGAAGTTTTTTTCCACTCCTCCTCCCATGTCTACTGTTCCTGTTACTTTCCCTCCTCCAAAGGATCCAGTTTCTTACCAGTGCCTATCAGTGTTAGACCTATTGACCAATTACACTATTGAACTGGTTTTCTCATTCTCCTTCAGAATTTTATTCCCATCTGCATCACCTAGGAAAATCAGGGATTGGCAATTGGCTCTAGATCTTTTATTTTTCTCCATCATTATGTTGACCTACCTCAATTTACTGTGGAGACTTTTCTCATCCTCCAATAATCTATTGCTCTAGGGTTTTATGTGACCAAGGTGGATTTCTCAGATGTTTATTTTTACATTCTCATTTCCCCTGTATTCAGTATTTACCTTCAGTTTATTCATCGAGGTCATGTTTATCAGTTCCAAATTTTCTCATTTGATTTTGCATCAGACCCATATGAGCAGTGTGTGCTTATGCTTGTCACATTCACGGCTTGGGATTGAGGCTCCATCATTATGTGGGTGACTGGCATTTTTTAGCTCTGTCAATCTTAACAGGTCTTCTACAGCCATACTCTTCTCCTTTGGAAGGCAACTTATTCTGGTTGGTTAGTCAAGCCAGAGAAGTCTCATCTCTCACCCACTCAATATTTGGTTAATTTGAGTGTGTTTCTCATTTCTAAAAGGTGTAGCCTTCTTTACTTCATTTCAGGGACATGGGATGGTTGGTTTCCACTGCTCTCTCCTCACTTTATCTCCATGTACTCACATGCTTTGTTTTCAGTGGACTCTGTATGAGCAACGGAACCTCTCTTGGGATCCCTTGTCCTCCCTCATTCATCTTCCTCCTTCCCTGCACACAGATTTTACGTGGTGGCTTGACAAAACCTCTCTCTCTCACCTGGATCTCCATCTTTTTACAAATGCTTCTCTGACAGGATAGGATGTTTGTTTCAACTCTAGATATTTTAGTTCAATGATCCCCAGACAAATCAACCCTTCTCATCATTCAATTGGAACCCTTAGAGATTCATCAAGTTTTAAATCTTTTTCTTATGGTTGTACATGGCTGTCTGGTTATGATACATACAGACATCTCAACTGTAATCACTGAAATCAATCATCATGGGGCAGTCATTTTTGCTCTGTTTCCACACCCTTGACCTTCTGTTCTGGGCTCTTTCCCAACAAGTACAACTTGTGGCTTGTCTTGTTCTAGGTGCCTTGAATCTTGTTGCAGATCATCACTTGAGGCCTGACAAGATTTTTCCTGTAGAGTGGTCTCTCAGTCCTCAAGTGGCTTTCTTCTCATCTGGACAACTCTCTCATTGATGCCTTTGCCATTTATTACAATGCCAAGCTTCCCCTTTTCTGGTTTCATATGCCTCATCCATCTGTTCTGGCTGTGAATGCATTCAGTAGGACAGGTACAACCTATTTCTCTATACTTACCTCCCTACTCACCTCCTTTCTCATTTTCTCTCCATAATATAGGACACTCCTTGTGTGGTCCCTCTTGTGTCACCCTGTTGGCCACCTCGAGCATGGTTTCTTCTGTTGAGTTTTCTTCAGTCCTCCCCTCCACTTCCTCTAGCCCATTCTCTTCTTTGACAGCCTCATTCTTCCCTCTTTTATCCAGTCATGTCGTCAGTCCAAATTCATGTATGAGATTTGTCTGGTCCCATACAAGATGTTCCATCCTATCTTCATGTGTAGCCTTCCTTCTTTCCCATTCTATTCCCCCAACCCCTATCCTTGTCTATCAGCAGAAATGGTGTATCTTTCACAGTTTGTCACTGCAGTGTTCATTCTTGACCAGGGTAAATAGGTATTGAACATCACTGGTTTCCAGGCAGCTCTCTCGCTAATACTTTCCGGTTTTCCTCTTGCCATAAAATTTTTTCCTTGCCACTCCTCACTATAGTCTTCCATTCTTATCATCCTCCTCATCCTTCTGTCCTACCCATTTGGGACCTGAATGCTGTTCTTCATGCTCTTAATTTTCCTTCCTTTGAACCTTTTGGCCTCTGGTGTTTTATACCATATTTCCCTTCAAACTTATTTCCTCCTTTTCACCTGTGATTTTTTGTTATCCTGACATGTATGCCATGAATTTTCATAATTTCTTCATACATTATTTTGAATTGCTCCTATATCCTTCTCACTCTAATCCTGATTGCCTACTCTGTCCTCTCTGTGCGGTCTATTGTTATTTGGCCCGCAGCAGCTCTTTTGTGGTTCCTGTCTCTTCATTACTTGGAATCCCTCTTCCATCCACATTCTTTCTGCCATTACCCTACTGAATGGCTTTGTCAACACATCCATTTAGCATATTCTTCTTTGGATGGGGAAGTTCATCAGCACTTCTAGGTATCCTCACATCAAATCCAGTTTCTTATGCTATCTTTGGTTGCTCACTTCTATCTTCCATTGGAGGAGATTGTTCAGGCTGACTTGTGGACAATCCCTCATAGTTTTGGGTATTGTAAATGAATTTGTTGCAGATTGTAGAGTAAGAAACAGAGTAGTGAAAACTGATTTGTCATATCAGTTGTATTCTAAAATAATTGAATCAGCCTGTGTGGACTTTTGACAAGAAAATAGAATTATTTAGAGTTTTAGGTTTGAGTAACGTGACATCAATTCACAACATCTGAACTACATAACAACTGATTCGTAAACAGTTACATAAGCAAACTTGCCATAACTATTGCTTCTATAAATAACTTACTCTAATATTTGCACTGTATAACCTAAATAATACTCTTGTATTAAACTTAAAATGACCAGTTGTGTATATCTAGTAATAAGCCCCTCTTCAAGAAAATTATTTACAATATGTTTTATATTATATACGAAGACTGTTCCCAGTTCATGCACAAAGTCTACTCATACAGCCTGCACCAACATTTGCAGTTCCCTTGATGACATTAGTGTTGAACCAATAGTTCTGGAGGTACAACGCCCATCTCATGGTCCTTGCACTGTCAATTTTGCACCTTTGTATTATGGAAGGGGCTGATAGTCTGTTTGTA